CTATGGCAAACCTTCTCAAACTTTCTTTTGCACAATTATTTTATTCTCTATTTTTCTTTTTTAAACAAGCATTCTTTTTCTTTTGTTTTTCACATTCATATTCACACTTTTTCTTTTCCATGTTTGCTTGAAATTTTTCAAAATTTTTAGCAACATACCATTTTTATTTTCATTCTCCATAACTTGAATTCAACCAAACCTCAAGTGAATGCTCCTTGCTTTTTATGGCAAGGAAATCAATTTAAACAATGTTCAAAGGTTCAAGAAAATTTTTAGAATCTCACAAAATTCAATGATGAACTAAACTTTCAAATTATGTACAGAAACCAAGTTCATCACTAGAATGAGATCTAAACTGTTTAGGCTCAAAGGGGTTAACGATTACTCATTACTCACGGGTAAGTTATGGTTTGGATACAGTTTTGCTGAATATAAACAAATGCCTTGACCATTTCTAATGCTTCCACAAAATCACAATAATCAAAAGATAAAGCATAAATTAAACGAATTTAAAAAAGTTATCATTCATCCTAGCATATAGTAAACAATGGAGGTTTCTCACAATTTGTGCCTTTTGGACCTAAGTGAAACAAGCATTCAAACAAGATGCAACATGAAACAAGAATGCGCATTTGCACAAAGCCCAAAATTCTCAAATTATTCTAATATTCTATAAAACGGTACAATTTACCTTACTTACATTCACATGTTCAACATCCTACCATCACCATTCAAACTTGGGAGAATCTTCATTGGATACTTTATACAAATAGCAACCAATCTAGAAGAAGTTCTCATCTTTCCTCCCTAATCAACACTTGAGAAAACGTAAAAGGAAACAAGTATATATACAATATAAATAAGTGTACAAAGCTCAAAAATATAAAAACTATTACAATGCACTTCAATATCTAAACACCAATCCCCGACAACGACGCTATTTTGTTCGAACTGCAGTAAAACGGCAAGAAGAAAAATTTAGTTTTGGAAGGATTCCCTCCGGCATTTATATCGTCTCCACAGGGATCAATGTGAGGGAAAGAACGTCGTTCAATGGTCTCTACATTTCTAAGCTTGTTGTGAACATTTGTTGATAGATCAACGGTACCATAAATAAAGGCAGAAAATATAAAGACGAAAAATATAAATTAAAGACTTAAAATATGAACGGAACCTTGTTGGGATTGGATCTCATCAATTGAAAACACATGCATTCTTCTAACCAGTTAAACACAAATCAATCATTCTTCTGATATTCTCACGTATCACCCACAACATAGGTTATGTCTAACGCAACATCGAAAGAACAACCATATTATGTCATTCGTAATGTCTCACGCAACTCAATAACACAAATCATTAAGAACTAATACTCAAGCAAATGTTAAGCCTAAATTCATGTCTAGAGTCTAGAACCTAACAGATAATCATCCTAGACCCAGATCTGAAGAGTATATTTCTATAACTGTTCAAGTCAAAGAAAATAGGTAAACAAAGATAACATCCATATCAGCTTCATGATTGATTCATATAAAATTTCATGATCAGAATACATACATACGCTTAACCCTTTTTACATGCATTCAAATAATTTTCTAAATGTAAGTGAACATAGTTTTTTATCTCTATTATCATGAATCCTTACAATACCATATTGATCCTACTCTTCTTACTCATGCTACTAATAAACACAATAAAATCAAAGATACTAGTGAGTATCAACTTACAAGACTATGTCAAAAGTTTGCTTATTGATAGATAAATATCTAAGATCTAAGATTTGAAAAGGTTTTGTCAAGACCCAAAAATAAGGAATCAAAGACAACATCAATACTGAATTAAAACTAGTTCACAATACATAGATTAGATGAAATACATAAGGTATCAAAATATTACATCCAAACCCAACAAGAGGTCGAAACTACTTACTCAAAGATCAAGCTCTGATTTCCTTTGATTTTGGCTTCTCCCTCTTATGGTTTTGTTTCTCTTTCTAAAAGTATGTTTCGAGTGAATAGAGATAAAGTTGGATTCTAAAAATATCTCATAAGTTCCCTTATATACAAGTTACAAAAAGTGACTATAAGTGGCACCGCATTAAGCGCCAGCAGAGGGTGCTTTGCACGATCAGTTCAAAGGCGACATATTTCAAGAGAGCACATTAAGCGCAGTCAAAGTGGGCTAAGCGTTGTTAGCCTTTGTTTGGTTCTACCTCTAGTCCCAAAAGCACGCTGATCCTGCGCTGGAAAACGCGCTAAGCGCGATTTTCCATCAATTTGTTGCAAAAGTGATCTTGCTGCTTCTTCTTCATTTCTTTGGCTTCCTTGTCCAATCATTTGTGTCTTAATCATTGATGTTTTATGCCTATATTCTGCACAATAACACACACATTAAAGAATCCAAAGGTATTTGCAATATGTTGAAGAATCACACAAGAATAAGAAATAAATCCATTAAAACATGAAAAATAAGTTGAAAGACGCCAAGAAAGATGGTTCAATTTAAGTCATATTTTGCGCTCAACATTAATCTCGGAAAGCGGTGCGAAGCAGAAGCGGGGAGCAGCGCGGGCACTACTTTTGCAACATGGACGCAGTTTTTAATGGCACTTACATGCTGGAACATAAATAGCATACATTTCTTAAAATTCATAATATCATACATTACTTCCAATTCCAAATACCATTAATACGCATAATTCTTAAGAAAAAATCATTGCAACATACTTTTTAAATTCAAGAAAACAAACACTTAACTTCTAAATCTTAAAATAACTTAAACACCCAAACTCTTATAAAAGTTCAACAATCATTAAAATTAATGTCTTCATTATCACTTCCTCCGACACTAGCATCCTCTTAAATCTCTTCATCCTCTCCAAGATATGCTTGATCACCAAATTCATCATCTACTACCACCACTTCCTTTTCTTTTGTCTTATATCTAGATGAAGAAGGTGGAGGTGGTAGAGGTGTAGTTTCCTTCTTCTGCATTGCTGCTTGGCTCTTAGTGTTGATTGTAGGCTCAGCAGCACCACTTGCAAGTTCAACATTTAGCCAAGACAAATCATCACCATCAAACACCATATCATCATTATCAGGTTGAATTTCATCTTCACCTCCCAACAACCATAGGTTATTGGTACCAATATCATCATTCATGACCACATGATCAATCAAAACATCATTGTCAAATCGCTCTTTCAAATTTTGATTATACTTGATGAAAACCAAGTCTTGCAACATTTGATGTTCAAGTCTATTTCTCATCTTGGAGTGAATATATATTATAATTTTAGAGTTAGTTTAAATAATAAATATAAACTATTAATTTGAATCTATAACTTAATACTAATTACTTACATGCTCAAAAGCACTCCAATTCCGTTTACAACCCGATGAGCTACAAGTCAAACTCAATATTTTAATAGCAAGGAGCTGCAAATTTGGTGCTTTTGCTCCATAACTCCTCCACCAATCAACTACAATGTGAGACTTATTTGCATTAGCATATATACACAAAAATTGTTATGTAATTAAATTATTGCCATATATACTTAGTTACTTACCAGAAGCTACATCATTCATTTGCCTTATCGCTTCCTTCAATGCAAAGTGGCCTACACCCATCTTATATTTTGACAATTCTCCATGGATGGCATCAACAACTTCAACACTTGCAGAAAGCTTATCAATGCAGGCATAAAGGCCATCTAACAACTTATCATCATTCTAAATCATTGGATTGCTATAAAAGTACCTCAAATTAAGATAATATCGAGCTGCGTGTAAAAGATGAAGTTGAATACTCCATCTTCTGTCAACAATATCAATGATATATTTGTACTTGCTTTCATTGTTGTTGAAGTTTTTTTTAATTAACTCTTTGGCTTCCAACATTGCATGATAGATATTACCCATTGCCGACTTCTTTTCATTATCAACAAGCCTAAGTACTTTTACATGAGGCCATATAACTTTAAGAGTGTTCACAATATCCTCCCAAAATGAGACTTGAAGTACAATAGCAGCTGCCTTCTTTCCTTTCACCTCCTTACTTGCATTCAAGTTCAACAATTCTTCAGAAGTGAACATGGTTCTAATTTTTTCCTTTAAAGTGTGCAACCTATGCAAAGTAAGAAAGTTTGTGGCAAACCTTGTGACTCCACTTCTAACCAACTCACCTTCTAATTTATCCCTCATTAAGTTTAAAACCAAGGAATGGTTGTAAATGAAGTCCATGAGAGTTATTCTTTTTTGTATAACCTTCTTGACTTTAGGAATTTTTTCGATATCTTCTAGCATCAAGTCTCGACAATGAGCAACACTTGGAGTCCAAAATATTTTTGACTTTGATACTTGAAGATGTTTACCATCCACGACATAATTTCTTCCATTATCGGTAACTAGCTGCACAATATTACTTTCACCGATCTCTTCAACAAAGCTATCCAAAAGCTCAAACAACTTTTTTCCAGTTTTCATGTATGTAGAAGCATCAACAATTTTAAGAAACATAGTTCCTGTCGGAGAATTGACCAAAAAATTAATCAATGTCCTTCCTTTTGTACTATTCTAACCATCAGACATTGTAGAACAACCATACTTTACTTGGTCTTGCTTATTAGTACTCAACATCTCATGTGTAAGTTTCAACTCATCTTGAAGTAATGGAACTCTCAACTCATATTAGCTTAGACGCTTCAAATGGGCACCATACATCCCAATTGCTTCAATAATCAATTTGAAACTTTTTGAATTTGCAACATTTAACGCAATTTTATTCTGATAAAAGAAACGAGCTATGTATTGGAGACAACTTTCTCTTGCTTTCTTATCACAAGCATCATTCAAGCTTGTTTGCTTTCCTTTTTTCAATGTTTCCTCTGGTTTTCTATAGTAAATTACATCCAAGGAACCTTTTGTATTTTTCTTGGCAGCCAACATACTCCCCTCTTCAGCCGGTCTTTTTCCACTTTAAATCCTAGATATGTCTGACGATCATGATCCCTCATCATCATCTTCATGCACTTCACCTGACATAGATTTATTTGCGACCAATTTCTCATCTTCATGCTCATGCAAAATCTCCTTAACGTCTACGGGTGTTTGAGTGCAAGACTTCACATTTCCTTTTATTCCTAATTGATGTTGTTTAGCCCTAGAAATTCCTCTAGTAGACGTTTCATTACAAAAATCATATGTAACCATCCTCTTATTATTTAAGTCTTTCAAATTGTTAAATTTCCATCCTATATCACTGGTTAGTTTGTGTTGCTTAGCAGAAGAAGCAACAGATTGATCATTGGATGATGATGGTGGAATAGAACCAATAGGAGGTGTTGGAGTTGTCATGGCTGTTGAAGAAAATAGAACAGAGGATGGATAAATAAAAGAATAGAACAACATTGGAGAAGAAAAAAGAACATAACATATGAGAGGAAGGCAAGTCATACCATATATGAAAAAAAACATAACATATGAAAAATAACATAACAGAATTAGAGAAGAAACAAAAACACTTACGAAAAAAATTAATATACTGTAAGAAAGAAAAAAAATAGAGGAAGGCAACTATGGAATCCATACCTGAAGTTCAGAGGAAGAAGATAAGGAACAACAGAGGAAGAAGACGAGGAGCAGTAGGCGCAGGAAGAAAATAGTACGTTGGTGCAGGAAGAAGAGAGTAGAAGAGAGTCGTTACGCAATACGCACGAAGGAAAGAAAGAAGCAATACGCACGAAGGAAAGAAGGAAATAAGCAGCGGTACAAAAATTAGGTTTTTTTTAAGTATTTAAGTGAATGGGTCAAAACCCGCTGACCCAACCCGTAGTGAAGTCGGCCGCTTCCGCACTGCTCCGAACCGACGTTACTCGCCGCGATACCCGCTACCTACTTTCGTGCCGGACCAATTCACCTTGAAGCGGCGATGCCGATTTTAACGCGGTGCACCGAGATCGCGGCCGATGACGCCGCTATTAACAACATAGGTTAAGATGTAGTTAACTTAATAAAGTGAAATTAGTTAAGAGAGTGGAATTGTTTTGAGTTAATTGGATGTGGTGTGGTGAGGTTTTATAGGTGTAACCGATTAACCAGTGACAAACGCGATGGTTTGTGTTCTTCTATGTGTGGATGAAGTGGCTTGCAGGTATCTTGAAGGTAGTGGCTAATGTATGTTAATGTGTTTGTGTATATTGATGATATGTTTGGACTTTGATGTATACTGATATGGCAAGTTTCATGCAGCTGGTTGCAGGCCTATCATAGGTACATGATGGTCCAAAATATTGGTGATGCTGGTACAAATGAAGGTACATGATCAGTGATTTTTATACGTTATTTTACCATTAGTTTTAGTTGATCATTTTTATTGTTTCGTCGCATTTTATTTGTTTTTATTGCATTTTACGCGTTGGTTTGGTATTTTCACTGTTTATAGGTTCAGGTAAGCAACAAAGAAGAATCGGAGCAAAAACCGGGTAAAACAACAAGAATTTGGAAGAATTTTGAAGTGAACCAGGAGCCTGACACGGTCACCCGTGTCACCTGACACGGCCCGTGTCAGAAAGTGCTTAGAAGTTGCAAAATAGGATGAAACCAGGGAGCTGACACGGCCGCCCGTGTCAGCACACCTGGAGCTGAAATAATGTTCATGCAATATAACAAGGGAGCCAACACGGCCCGTGTTGGCTAAAACGTTCCATCTTCTATTTTTCTTGGATTTTGGACATTTGTGATCCCTGAGGGTATTTTAGGTATTTTTCTATTACTGGGTTGGACCTGAGACTAATTGAGACGTGTTTTGGAAAGAGAGACTGGGACTTTTGAATCGGAGGAGAAAATTACAACTGAAAGTAGGAAGCTCTAGAGAATTGGGAAGACAAGGATATTTTCATGATCGGAAGAAATTGAAGATCAACTTTATTCCACAAGTCTTGTAATGTTTATATTTCCTCTGTTGTTTTTGTTGAATACTATGAATAGCTAAACCCCCCATTGCTAGGGGGTGTCCCTGAATTGTGTTGTAATGAACCTCTGTTTCATTTCTTAATGAGATTTTGTTTCATTCCCTAATATTTTTGTTATGCAATTCGTTTAAACTTCTAAAGATCGTATAAATTGGGAACGATTTACGATTAGGGATTTGGCCTGAAAAACTGATCGATTATTTTGTATAACACATTACGGTGAATATTGCCTAGGAATAGGGATATTCTGTAATGATTGTAAAAACCCTTTGTCAGAACTATTGTTTGACGTCCTTCCGTGACTGCTAAGGAATTAGGGTCAAAGAAGAATATCAAAGATTTTTCAGTAAGGAATTTAATAAAAACACTTTTGTGGTGCAATAAAAATTAAGGTTTTGTGACATGTCTCATTGATTTACTCCAAGGTTCGTACTAAGCAATCCATACACTTCCCCTAGCATGTTTTCTCTTAACCGTAGTAAAATTTTATCATTCAGCTTTTTTTTCCTGTTAAAAAAAACCCCAAACAAAACCCCAAGGTTATTATTTTGATTGAAATAACATTTGTACCTAAAAATTTACACGCAGTCCTTAGAGATCGATATTGAGAAAACCCCAACTATTACTACATCGGTATAATTAGTACACTTGCTAATTTTACCGGTCAGTACACTTTAGCATACATGGAGGCTTTGCAACCTAAAATTTATGGTAATTTATTTGCAACCTTTACACTAATTTTTCACAACAAAAATGTTACACTTTATACTAATAATTTATCCAAACCATTTTTAGGCGTGAATAATCTCTCATTTGAACAAATAATGTATTGTGTTACGTTTTTGACTATTTGATTAATGTTTGGATTTTAATTTATATATGACATGTTTCAATTACATTATTATACTTAGCATGTTGTTAATATATCCTTAGTGTAAATGACCTAAAAATATCAATTTGGAACACTTGCTGTCAGGACAAAATCTCTCAAATGTTTTCAAGAGTTATTTCGAAGATGAATCTACAGAATCACTTCTAAAAATTTACGGAGATGCATCTCTGATCCATATTTCAAGAAATTTGGGGTGGATGGTTCACTTGTGAAACACACAGTGTTTTTAAGGGTTAATTTGAATATGCATATTCGTAATTTTTCTAGAGTGATTTCATAAATGTATCTTCAGACAAAATTTTGACAAATATGAAAATTCATCTCTAAAATATAAAAATAAAAATAAAAAAAAAACAAATTTGATTTCCAGTTTATTGACACTCATTAAAAGGATGATGCCTGAGTATGATATACAAGACTAAGATTCAAAGACACTCAAGAAACAAATTTACATTTACCTTCATCAATAGACTCTCTAATGCCATGTAATAAATCGATTATTCCAAAAGTCTAAGTTGTTGAATAAAAGGAAATAAGTTGTTTCCTACTTTTTTTTTATATTACCATAAACATTTTTTTTGACAGGTCATATATAAACGTATTCATGTCTTTTACCTTGTCCATATTGTACGTGCATATCTTGAATATCCCCCATTTGATACATGAAATCATTGATGCGAACAAAATCTTCAATGTATTAGCATTTTTAACAGCATATCTTCATGTACAAAAACTGTGATTTTTTTTTTTTTTTTTAAGGAACAATATTTGGATTTTGAACATTATATTTGCTAATCTATTATAACAAAGTTGGAATATGTTGGAGGTGTTTTTCTTTTCCTTCATGGTTTTGATATCAACTCATGTAAAATTGCAGAAAACCATATGTTTGATGTTTCAAAAAAAGAAATTTTTGAAGCATAAGCGTACTCAAGAACCTATTAAAATCAGTTTGATTCTACTTAGGTTAGGCAACAACTTTGCATTATCAATTTGCAACTAAAAAGGTAGAATTTTTATCACAAAGGGAAAGTGAAACTAGCTCTAAAGATACCCTAGTGTATGTTAAATACAGGGTATAACCCTAAGAGTGATTGCATCAACAAAAGCCAATTTATTTGGAATATCATTACAACTTTTAACAACCTAATTACTTGAATTACATAAGAGGAAAATTTTGCTCATTTTCACCATCTGCAAATTGTTATGTCAGCTTTCCATCCTTTTCCTAGAGGCACCTCCCACCATAACCTGCATTCCTGAACAGTGATTGCTTTATCTCTTCAGGGTTCATACAATTTCTCTGTCCAGCTACCTAAATTCATGAAAATAATGTAAAAAATCAATAGTAGATAAAAAAGCCTCAGATTCTAGTTTCAACTTAAAATCACAATGACAGTGTGATTCTACTACAAACATGCACTGAAACAATTCACTAACCTCTGAGCAAGATGCCTGCAATGAAAAATCATTGAAACTGCTGATAACACATTGGTGAATCTCAAGGCCTAATGCTTCTAATGTGTTCACTGTTGACAGTAGTAAACCTGGCTTTGTGGCACAGCAGATGCTAATCCTTGTGTCTTGATCTCTCCTCTCAACATTAAACTAAAACACAGAAAAATAGAAAAACAATACATCAATTACATTTACTCATATGAACTTGGTCTATGATTATCATGCAATAGTTCAAAGATTTGACTAAACCATACCTTAGGGGAATTTCTTACCATGACTTCATTTGGCTTTAACTCTTTAGAAATTCCCAAAACGTTTATCTGATCTGTTCCTTCATCCATTTCTTCTTGCAACTTTCCAATCCTTTCAAGAAGCTCTTTCATGTAATCAATTGTATCTCCGAGAATCGATGTCCTGTCCATCTAAATTTACATTTTACTTGTTAGCAAATCAAACCACAAATTCAAGAGCACGAGCACCAACACAGACACCAAACACGAGACACAACACACAACACACAGATAATGACATATAAACACATATGTTGATGTTGGGTCTAACACATTGTCAAACACCTAACATGCATTCGATATAAATTGTCGATTCTATGATTCTACAAAGCATACATAGACATTTCATCAATGGAATCATCATCACCTTACTGATCTTAGGGACAATCGACCTAAGCATGGAAAGCCTATCATTCAACCTCTTTCTCCTCCTTCTTTCCGCCATGAGATTCTTCGAAGGTTGCCCCTCAACCCTTTTGGATTTACCTTTCTTCTGTCCACCTCCACCACCACACAAACCCATATCAAAAACAGGAATCTCACTCACATGCTCCTCAACTTTACAACTAATTTTACCTTCTTCCAAACCCTTACTCTCACTTCCAACAAAACCAAACTCTTCAACACCCTCTTGCGGTAAAAGCGGTGTTGAATCATCAAGCTCGGGAACAGTAAACCCATCAACAAAAGGGTATGAAACAGCATCAGTTCCATAAGAGCATTCAAATCTATGGTCTAATGGTGTTGAAAACGAAGCAAATGAAGGGTTTAGAGACGGATTAATGAGTAGATTTTCATCAAATGAGTCAAAGTTCCAACCATTTGGAAGAAGAAGGTCGTTTAAACCGGTGGATAAAGTGTTCCATGTGTCTTTTCTTGGAGCTAGTAGCTCCTCAAGGAAACCAAGTTGAGAAAGCTCCATGTTTTCTCTCAGTTATATTTCTCCTTTTGCAAGCTATGAATAAAACTAATGAAAAACCAAAGAGAAAGAGTCTTGGGATGAAGTAGAAGAAAATAAGACGAGTTTCAAGTTTGTTTAAATAGACAAGTTCTATTTTGGAACATCACAACTCACAAGTACTTAACCATAGATAGAGTACTTTGAAATTATGAGAAATTTTAACCATAAGGATAGTTTGTTTTCAAGGATAAGATGGTAATTTGGTTTGATACAAGAGTTTTTTTTTTATTGAATTAATATCTAATAAGTTACTATCTAAATTGTAAAAATAATTTTTAACCATTGAAAATATCTAGAAATGTTTAGTCAATGTAAAACTTAAAATATATGAGACATTTTTCTTATACCAAATTTAACCATGGCTCTGTCACTATTGTTGGAGAGTATGAAGTACACTGAAATGTAATAGCCTAAACGTCTAAGAATTATAATTTTTAATGATTTTCTAATAAATATTCAAATTGGTCTTTAAATTATTTTATAATCAATCATGTATTTCATTTTTAAATGTTCTCTAAAGGTGCCTGCTTTTAGTTAAATTTGTTCATACTTAATTTCGAGAGGACTAAAATATTATTACGTTGACAAATATTTATGATGTGTTTATATTTAAGAGAAAGATGCATTTGAACGAAAAAGAAAAAAAAAGTAAATAAAGAGATGAACTTTATTATTAATATTTTTAACTCTAAAGATTGTTTTGAAATTTTGATAATGTATAGTATTAATTTGATATAATCCTACAATTTTAATAACTAATTGATTACCAACCATAATAAATAATTCAATTGATCTTTTTATTTACTCCGTTTTAAATTATAATTTATTTTGTTAAAAATATTTGTCACAAATTATAAGTTATTTTACTATTCTAAAATAATACTAATGACTTTTTTTAATATATCTTTTATTATTTATTATTATTTCTTCTTCTTATTCTTTAAATATCTCTTTCATCTATAATAAATAAAAAATAATATTATAAAATCATACATAATTTTTTTTCTTATATAATAATAATTATATTTTTTAATTTACATAAAAGTTTTAAAATATTTTATAATTTAAAACGGAGGGAGTATATTACTAACTGATTTTTAATATACAAAGAATCAACTTTTTAAAATAAATTATAATAAAAGTGAATAGTAAATAATAATAAAATGCTAACTAATACTTATAAACACTTTTTAAAGTCTTAAAATAGGAAGATCCATAAAAAGAACAATGTTATTACCAAAATATTAATATTGAAAATGATAAAAAATAATAATTAACCAATTATTTTAAAACACTTTATTTTTACAAATGGATAAGAGAGTAATTTTTATGGACAAACCTTTTTAAAATGAGTTAGGGTATAACTAAAATCCATTTAAAAAATTTAATTTACAAAATCAATTATTTCACCCCTCAACTAGTAGTACTATACTAAAATGAATTTAATAATTTAGATTTACAAAATAAAGTTTTTTTCACAAATAATAAAGTCTACTTTTCATGAAACAGACATCAATGATTATATTAATTGAGAATGTATTACAGTGAAAAGTCTAGTGAAGTAGAAGCTAGATGTAGCCACAGATTAAAATGGAATCTCTTTCCCTCTCTCTCTTTCTCACAATTGAATTTCTTACTCTTTTTCTCACTCTCAAGGTGAATTAATGTCCTTTTCACCAAAATAATAACCCAGACAGAATTTATATTTAATTCCAATTCCTTGAAAACTTTGACCCACAATTCTGTCTTTAACGAAATTGGGTCGAATTAGCATCATAGACTGTCAGGTACTTCTTCCATTTTTTAATGCAAAAAAACTTCTCTCATTTTCTCAATCAAATAATTCATCTCTCTCTCTATCTTTTATTATTGTAACAAACTTTTAAAAAATAATTATGTGCTTAGAAACATGACAATTTGGAAAACTGTTTAGTTTCATTTAACAACCAATTTAATGCTCTTTTTTATTTCTACATAGTTTAATCTCTTGCCAGCCTGTTGTATCTTGAGTTGCAAACAATTGTCTCTAGTTTGTTGAAAATCTACTCCATTAAAAGTGGTCCACTTTTTCAACAGATTAATGCTTGTTAAGGAAACTAGTTTATATTTTAAGTCCTTGTTTTGTGTTGCTTTCGTTTTTTTCTATATGTTTTAAGTATGATTCATTTGGAAAGATGTTTGATAGAAGAAATTATTGGTTTTCCTTCTTGTTCTTCTACTATATTTAGTACCTTCTTTAATGAGCTAAAATTCATCCTAGTAGTTTTGTTATATGTGTCACAAGTATCAACAACTAGTCAATCTTTCAAAATCCAATCAACTCAAAATTTTGCATGTTTGAAATTAGTGTTGAGATATATTAGATATAATTTAAGTTAAATTATGTGATCCAAATTTAAAGTTAATTAGAGTTTAAGGTTTGTTACTTAGCTTGTTATAATTCTTACTTAATAGTCAAGTCACTTAGATCTATATAAATAAGACACTTTGTAATTAAGTTATTATCATTCATTTAATAATATCAATTCTTATTTTTTTATTCTCTCTTCTTTTCTGCACACTAAAAGTGTCTCACGTATAAATTAGTATCAGAGTCTAGTTCTTTATGTGGCGGTTGTGGCGCAAGATATAACAATCATCTGTTTATATGTCGATGACGTGTTAGTAATTGGAAGTAGTTTGGAAAACTTGTCGAAGTTCAAAGAGCTGATGAAAAAGAAATTTGAAATGTTGAATTTGGGAAAGTTGTCGTACTTCATAGGCATGAAATTTCATATGTTGAAGTAAGGTATGGTGCTACATCAAAGAAAGTATGTCAAAGAGATACTTAAGAGATTCAGAATGGATGATTCAACTCCTGCATCTTCCTGTATCGAACCAAACTTAAAGTTGGAGAAGCATGGAGAGGAAGACAAAGTCAATGCAACTTTGTTCAAGCAAATTGTCGGATCTCTGAGATATGTGTGCAATAGTCGACCTAATATATACTTTTCAATCAGATTAGTGAGCAGATAAATGAGTGAACCAAGGGTGTCACACATGAAGGCTGCAAGAAGAATCATGATATACTTAAAAGGATCGACAAACTATGGAATTCTATTTCGACGGGACTCTAAAATTAAAAAAGCTATGGTTACTTACTATTTAGATGTTGATCGGTGTGGAGATAAGGAAGATCGAAGAAGCACTAATGGATATTTTTTTCAAGCATTTGATGCCACAATCTCGTGGTGCTCGAGAAAGCGACATGTGGTGGCATTATCATCGCGTGAGGCTGAATATATAGCAGGATCATATGATGTGTGTCAAGCAATTTGGATCAAATATATGCTTGAAAAAATGGATGTCAAAGTGAAGAAACCTCTGGTATTGCAGATCAACAACAAGTCAGTCATAAATCTGGTGAAGAATCAAGTTTTGCATGGAAGAAGTAAGCACATCGAAACTAGATTTCACTTCTTAAGGGAGAAGACGAATAGATGTGGACTTAAAGCAAGACATTGCTCAAGTGAAGCACAATTGGCCGATATTTTCACCAAAAGATTGAAGATCGACAGGTTCCTAACTTTGAAAAAGAAATCATGAATAGTTCAAATCGACAATGATTAATGTGTTTCGACAACTTGGATTATAGGGGGTATGTTTAGATATTAGATCTAATCCAAGTTGAACTATGTGACTCAAGTCCAAAGTTAATTAATGTTTAGGGTTTTTTTACTTAGTTTGTTATATTTATTGTTTAGTAGTCAAATCATGTAGGTCTATATAAATAAGATATTTGGTAATTTAGTTATTATTATTCATTCAATAATATTAATTCTTATTTTCTTATTCTCTTTTTTTCTCTTCTCACTAAAAGTGAATCACGCACTAACAATTAGAATAAATTTGACAAAATCACAATTATTACTGTATAATTTTATTAAAGCTTTAAAATGTTGTTTTTGTCAAAATTATGTTTGATATTTTGTGGTTTTATTAAATTTATTGTTAAAATCATTATATTTGTTTTAAGTTTTTAAAAACTTTAAGTTAATTGTGATAAATATTTTATGATCTTCTATTTAACTACAATTTATTCCTTGCTTATTGATGGATAAGGTTGATCCTCTAATCAATTATAAACTCGGATAACAAGATTTTAAATTAAAAAAAAAAATCAAATAAATTGATTTGCAATAATCAGCATTAAACTGCAATATTTAAAATATAAAATTTTTAAATTACACACAAAATTTTTAAATGATGATACGTACATACATATACACACACACATATATATATATATATATATATATATATATATATATATATATATATATATATATATATATATATATATATATATATATATATATATATATATATATATATATATATATATATATATATATATGTGTGTGTGTGTATATATATATATATATATATATATATATATATATATATATATATATATATATATATATATATATATATATATATATATATATATATATATATATATATATATATATAAAATTAAATCCTACAAGCACTATTACAATTAAATTATATGTTTTATGAATTTTTCATTTAACATATTTTAATTAAATTAATTATCTTATTAGAAAATTAATTTTATTTTTGGTTTAATTGTTTAATGATCAAAATTCTAGTCATTAAAAATTAACAAGTGAGATGTTGAAGATTGCATTGAATTATTTGTAACCACACTTATGCGATGGAAGATCCTTGTAACAATAATTTGAACTAAATTAATTAAATTTTATAAAATTAATTCTTTTTACCGCAAAATCAAACTTATAATTTAATTTTATTATATCTCACCATTTAAAATCAAACTTATAATTTGTTTTAATTTTTTTATAGTATAGAACTTTTCACTCCAACTCATTTTATAGTGTAGAACTTTTTACTCCAACTCAACAACCAATCTATAAAAAAAAATACAATTTCGATCA